CTTCAAAACTGGGTCAAGAAAGTACTTGTGAAATATTTTATTATACCAATTTCCTGTATTATGCCTCTCCCCCTTGAAATATTGAGAGCAGTTTCTACTTTCCTGACTGGACTCTGACTGATATCGATGCATTTGATTGCATTCTAAGTTTTTATACATTAGATAGAGTGCATCTTAATATCACTATTAATCAGAATACTCTTGCTTTATTGTTAGCTGCACTATCCAGCACTAATAACTCCTTCTGTCCCTCTTTGTCCCTTTCTTTATTTTAGGAGGAGGCAGGAATTTGTCTTATACACATATAACCTCCAGTCCAGAACCTGACCAACCCCCAAATGTGTGCTTTAATAAATATATGACTAATTACATGGGTCTCTGAGAGCGTATCAATCATAATTTTTGACTTCCACCTTGGCAGCCATTCAGCACTGGAGGCAGCTCCACGTTCTGACCTTCACAGTCCTGACCCCAGACTGGGACAAGTTCCAGATTCTTTAATGAATCATCCGGCATCCTACTTATTTTCTTCCACACACTCCTATGAAATTGGCATTTATCACAACTTTCATGAAGCAGTTCTTTGTTATCTGACAGAAACAAGAGGCAGCTATCACATTTTTTTTTTCTGTTTAGTTTTGTTTTTAGTTTCTGACAGAGATATGGGCCTTATCTTCAGGGCCAGCTTCATGGGCACGGGACCCGGGCAGGACAGGGTCCTGCACTTAGGAAGGCTCATGCTTAGATTAACATTCCACTGTGGCCATCTTGAAATTCCTCATACATTTCAAACAAGAAGCTCCACCTTTCCATTTTGCACTGAACCCCATATAGGATATATATGGCTCTGCTACTTTCATTTGTATGTACCTTAAACTGGTGAGGTTAATTTACTATCGATTCACATGGGTTTGATATTTAAGAAACCCTCTGTGATTCAGAGTTCCTCATTTTCCACAGGAAATATACTTCAAACCTCTCAGTGCAGGATGGCGTGAAAAACTTCTCATCTCGTTACCTCCTTCACCTACATGGACACCCCTAGTGCTTCTTTAGCCTCATCTCTGTCCCTCTCCTTTTTAAATGTTAACTCTTAGCTATTGTAATACTGTGGTTCCTAAACTTGTGAGCTTCTTGCAGGGGAAGACTACTTACCTCAAGTTCTCTGAGGTAGTAGCCAGACTCAGCTCCAAGGAGGTACTCAGTAAGTTCCTGTTCATTGAATGAATGAATGAATGAATGAACAAATGAACAAATGAACAGATGCCTGGTTTATTTGGAGAATGTATGAGAGTATAAGGTTTTCTTTTGTCTCACCTAGAGATAGCAGTACTTTCATTATTGAAGAAGAGATTCAACAGTACCCGCTGACATGGGCACATGGATTCTTTTTGCAAAGCATTAAAGAAGGCATTGCCTCCCTTCTTTCCTTTCCAGGAAAGTTAAATTACAATCGCTTTTTGAATTTTTCATCCTTTGAGAGGGGCCCCCGGGTCTCCCTTGGGATAAACTCCTACCCATGTCATGGAAGTAGTTCAAGTGAAATCTTCCCTACTCTTACCAACTGCCTGGCCCTTTGCAACTCCCTGGGGCAAGACACTCTCCTTCACCTTTCCTAGTCTATGTTCTGGTCACTGTTTACAAAACCCAACCGAAACACTAACTCCTTATAGTTACAATGTAATTAATCCCTCTCTGCTTTCCCACTGTATTGTATTTTCATCTGCAGTGTACTTGCATACATTCTGACTGCCCTAGTACCCGTGGCCACTGGACTAGATTACAGTATTTGAGGGATTGAATAAAATGTTCTTGTCTTTGTAGCCTCTAAGTCTTTATGTTTTATACCAACTCATTACTCAAATTAACATTGGGTAATTTGCATTTCTAACAAAAAGATAGAAATATTAGTTATAGGAAAAAAAAAAAAGAGCTTTGAAAAGGGAAGGAGAGTGATTTTATCCAATGGGGAAAAAACTTCCCCCAACTCATTGGAAAATACCTGAACGTGGAGGAAAGGAGTCAGGGATAGATATAGGGAGAGAAAAGGTGGAAAAAAGAAGACAAGGGAGGGCCTCCCCAGTGGCGCAGCGGTTGAGCGCTGGGTTGCCGGGCTGCCCGCAGCCTCTGCAGCCCCAGTTTGATCCCCGGCCACCGGAGGAGGGTCCCATATGGCGCGCAGACCTCTCTTGCCGCCCGCTGCTCCCCTCAGCAGTGTGCTTCGGTCCTTCTGCCTGTTCTGCTCCCCGCTCTGGCTCTGGTGAATTCTCTCACCCTCCCGCGCTTCTGACTGTACCCAGTGCTTGTATAAATAAATAAATAAATAAATAAATATTAAAAAGAAAAAAAGACAAGTCATAAAGGTACAAAGCTTTTTAAATTTGGTAACAAAGGCACCATGGAGACAGTGAAGAATGGGAGAAGTGTGAGTAGATGCAGGGCAAACTGATCAAGGTCATGGAGGCTGTCTGTCCTCTGCTCCAGCAGAAATGGCACAAGTGTAGTCCTAGAAGTTGAGGCTTCCCAGGATGAAAACAAGGCCGTTTTTTGTCTTAAAAAACGTACTGTTGCAATCAGTATTGCATCTAAATATGTTGCTGTTGAAAACGAGTAACCCAGGTGTGACTAAGTTCCTTGAGAAATCTGTTCTTTTTTTGGAAGCCAGTCCCCATATTTCCTTGCATCCAAATAAATACTACTCAAGACACTGACCTTGGTTTACTTAAACTTTGTCTGCAGATGTATTATTTCTCTTTCTACCTCCTTTTTCTAGCCATGTTTCCTCTGCTTTCTTTTTTAGCTAGAGTGATCTGGCAACTGCCTGTAAGTTCAGATCATGAACAGCAAGCTTTCTGAAATGTAGAATTCCCTTGAATCAACAAGTCATTCGCTTAATGAATATGAAATTTTGGTGGGGAGCTGTAGGGGCAGGAAGGACCACTGAGGTTTTCTAAGATCCCATGCAGGCAGGGTAAAGGAAGAAAGAGTCCTGGAGACTTCGGTGGCTTTTGCAGGTCTTTTATTTAGATTTACCAGGCATATGGCAGGCAGGGGTACTGGGGGGCCGGGAGGCTGGCTGGCCTCCCAGCCCCCAGCAAATCCTCGTTCTATCTGGGCTCTCTGGCGTTCTCTCGTCTTCTGTTCGTTTTTTGCTTCTGCTGGTGTCCCGGTGATGCCGTCCTTATAAACTCAGTCTCTCAGCCCAGGTGTACCCACTTCAGGTGCCCGCCATCAAGCATGCATTCAGGGCCACAGGGTTCCCTCATCTATCCTAATGGTGGGAGGGCAGAAAAGCCTGATACTTTTTACTTTACCCTACACATGCCCATCCTGATTTTCATATCTCTGTTCCTTCTGCAAGCATTAATGCTTGTCCTCTAGTTGATTTAAAGTAGCTCTGGATATAATTATATATTAAATGGAAGATCCCAGAGAGAAAATTATCTGTAATGTGAAAAGAAACAACCTTGTTATGAGAACACAAAACAAAAACTGAGATTTTTTCATCAGTATTTCTGAGGAATTCCACACTGATATTCCTTGTTCTGAATGGGGCTTGGAGTCCAGGAGCTGGTCCCCAGGGGGCTCGTGTCTCTTATTTCATCATGGAAAGAATTCCCATCAAGACCGGAGTTAGGCAGAAAAGCAAGAGGTTTATTGTCAGATAAGAAGTAGGACAGGAAAGCTCTCTGAGCAGAGAGGGGTCGTGAGTGGGCAGCAGCTGAGGGGTCAGGAAGCAGGTTTATGTAGGTATGTGAGCAGGGGGTGGAGGTTCTGAATTTGGGTGCCTGGTGTATGTCTTGTTGAGGCCTGCTGGGTCTCCCAGGTTACTTAGTCTGTTTTCCCCATAAAGAGCTTTGGTTTGTTGCTTTGGCATTGTGTGGGTTTTCTTAACACTGAGTTTTTACTGGGTTGGGGCACCCTGACCCTACCCTGCTGCCTATACCCAGGCTTACTTCCTCATTCAGATCTTTCTGATTAAGGATCCTCACCTGACATCTCTGGGGATAACGCAGGTACCTTTAGATTCCAGTTTAAACTACACAGTAAGATTGTGACAACTTTATGACCACGTAAAACTAACCACCCCTGCACTTAAATAGTCTTACCTAGCATTCCTTTCTTCTAATAGAACACATCCAGAATTCAAATCCAACCAGTTTTTCTCTTCTTCAAGTCTGAAATGAAACTCTGACATGTGCTGATAATCTAAACTGCTGATTATCTAAAATTTGCTTTAACTGTTACTAGAGGCCAATCTAGGGCAAGAGCGCTGGGAGACAAAACACCAGATGGCAGGAAATAACTCCAGCCTGGAGTCAGCTCATCTTTCAGTATCCCTTTAGCTGTGACTTGTGTCTTCCAGAGACCTTGAGGCAATATTGACTTGATTGTTTCTGTAGAGCGATTAAAAATGCCCCTGAAGGCCGAAGGCCAGCGGGATGTCCTTGACACACATCCTATTTTCTGGGAAGAGATCACCACCAAGTAATCTCGCTGGGCAGCCGAGACGAGAGCTCTTGGCTACTTCGGCAGTGATTCAAAGAACTGCATCTGACCGGAACCACAACCTGCAATTTACCCTCCTCCAGTTTTCAAGATAAAAGCAGTGATAGCATTGCACCTGCAGCCTACCTGCAAGACAGAAGTGGCACGGGAGAAAACTCACAACCACACAAGAATCTCAAACTCCTGATAGAGGAACACAAACGCCGGAGCTGCACAATGGGCCGGACTCTGGGATCTGCCCGGGTGCCAGAAGGCGGACTTACTCGCACGGGGCTCGCAGCTGCCCGGACCCCCCCAGCTGGCTGGGGTCCCCCGGCTGACATCACCGCCCGAGGCGCGGGTCACGTGGCCCGCGGGCCCCTCCGCGGGCTCCACCTCCTGCCCGCGCCCTCGGAGCGCCAGGTCCGGCCGTAGCGGCCGCGGGAGCTCACCGGGGAGACGCGAGGCGCGGGGCGCGGGGCGCGGGAGCAGCGCGCGAAGGGAGCGGGGCAGCCGCGGGCGGGCCGGGGCCAAGCGAGCAACCGTCCTGCAAACTTGGGCTGCGGCCGGAGCGATGGAGATGGTGGCGCCCCGGACGCCGTCTCACTCCAAGCCCTGCTGCCTGTGCCGCCTTGCGCACACCCGCACCGTCCTGCTCGGCGTCTGGTACCTGGTGAGCGCGGCACCTGGGGCGGGCGCGGGGCCCCCGAGCCTTTCACGCCCCCTGCTTCGGCCTCTGGGTCGGGTGGCGCGGCCGCTAATCCGCTTAGAGTTGTATTGTTAGAAACTTCATTCTCCGGGCAAGCCTGTCCGCGAGCCACCCCCTGGCCCTCCGATCCGCCAGCCTGTGGGGGGTCGGGTCAGGGCTGGAGTTAGGGACATTTGTGGGGTGCCGGGTGGGCGGGGGCGCGCGAAGCCCGAGCGCTTCTGCTGCTCTTTGGCTGCGGCCGCGGGGAGAAGCCGCGGTGGGCGGTGAAAAGTGCCCTCGGTGGCCGGAGAAGTCTGGTGGTATCTGCGGAGCACGTGCGTCTTCCTTTCTGCCCTCCACCCCTGGGAGTGTGTGTTTCCACAGGTGACCGCACGTTTTGCAACCCCTGCGGTTGGGACTCCGCAGCCCCGACCCCGGCATGCCCAAGCTCCCGCGCACCAGACTTGACTTTGCTGCCCAGATCCCCGCACACGTTTGTTTGCATCCCGAATTGGAATGGGGGGGGGGGTAGGAGACATTATGGGAATGATTTCCCCCCGCCCCACATATGTAAAACCCCTACCTAGGAAGGGATTTGCTAGGCTGCGTTTCAGTCTGCATTTGATACCCGCTTATTTCCTGGGCATTGACAGAAGATCCGGACTTCTCTGGACAGACACCGCAGGCAAATCTGATGATTTTTGTTGTTTTTATTTTATTTACTTATTTTAGTCTGGAGCTTTTAAGATCTTGTGGTTATCTGGGGCAGTGAGGCAACCTGAGGAATCCTGCCCTATGCCTGCTTCACGTTGATTGTTGGCACCGCTAGATTGCACCAGTATGACTGATTCCTCTGCATTTTGGGTTTTGTGACATCATGAGGAAGAGTTAGACCCAAGCCACTTTGCAGTCAGTATCACTGCATCATGAGGAAATACTTATAAAATGGTAATAGGAGGGCATGTAAAACTTTCTAGTGAAAATGCATTTTTTTTTTTCAGAGAGAAAAACTAAATGTAATCATGTTAATTACTAATTGAGCTGTCTGTTTAAGGCATATTCAATTAAAAAACCCAATAGCATTTTTTTTCCCTCTTTTGCATGCTTGTTAAAGAAAAGTTTCGTAAGTTCATGTGGGAGGCAGAGAAGATGGCATCAAAGGATATTCTTTACTTTGCTCCCAGGTAGATAATCTTTTTTTTTTTTTAATTAATAAATTTTATTTTTATATTCCCCATACAATTGCAATCCCCCCATTCTGACCCCAATCCCTCCCCTCCCGCCCCCCACCCCCAAAAAGTGTCTCTGGTTCATAGTTTTTGTTGATTTTGATTGAAAATGCATTTTTTTAAAAGATTATTTATTTATACAAGCACTGGGTACAGTCAGAGCACGGGAGGGTAAGAGAATTCACCAGAGCCAGAGTGGGGAGCAGAGCAGGCAGACTGATGAAGTATACTGCGGGCGCAGCAGGAGAGGTCTGTCTTGCCATGTGGGACCCTCGCCCGGAGGCCGGGGATCGAACCGGTGCTGAAGAGGCTGTGGGCAGCTTCACAGCCCAGCGCTCAACCACTGTGCCACCAGGGGAGGCCCTGAAAATGCATTCTTAATCATCAGGTTTTTGTTGCTTTATATTTAATTTTTTTGATGTAATATGAACATTATGTCAAATTATGAACTCTGTTGTGCCATTTTTAGCAAAACATCCCTCCCATATGGTGTTCTCTGCTATTTATAGTTTAAAGTTTCCTTTGCCTATTCACAGGCCGTATAATAGAAATTTTTGGTCTTAAAACTTTCAGACAGATCTTTGGTACCTGTGACTTCTTACTGTGCAGTGTGAATGCAGATAAAACGTCACCATATTGGCTCACCCCTGACTTTGCTAAAAGTCAAGAAATCTTTTACAGAAATTTTGAATTATAGCAAAGGGATAGCAGAAAAATAGGGCTTTTTATTGATCTTCAAGACAATTTTATACAAATGTTTTATGTCCTCCCTGAAAATGTTCAAATTTGCAGACTTGCAAGTACATCAGTGAATTGTAATTTGTAAAATCTGGGACACTGCATTAGGCAAATGTACTACATGATCTACTGAAAAGATAAATCTACTTGAGCCCTGTTGTTGGCTGTAATCCAATCAGACAGGACTGGTGTGTTAAAAGGAGAGTACTCTGCATGCTTTGTCTACTCTCTGAGCATGCTGCTGTGGAAAGTACTTTACTGCTGTGCATGTTTTAGCCTTTAGAACTACACAGCCTTTTGAAAGATAATTAGAATGTTCTTTAGCTGATATGAATAGGATCGCCACTTTGGGCAAATCTAATATATGGGAAATAGCGTAAGTATAGGTAATGTATAAAAATTCCTTTGCTTTTCATAAAATTTAGACTTTAAATGTTGAATTTAAAAACAACTGAGTTTCCTTCATACCTTTAAATATAATTTGGTTATTAAAACTTTGGTTTACATGAACATTTTATTTTTTTTTAATTTTTTAAAGATTTATTTATTTATGCATACAAGAGCTGGGGTTTAGGCCAGAGGTGTGGGGGTGAGAGGGTTCACCAGAGACAGAGTGGGGAGCAGAACAGGCAGATGGACCCAAGTACACTGTTGAGAGGAGCAGCAGGCGAGTCAGGAGAGGTCTGCTGCGCCATGTGGGCAACTGCTCCTGGCAGTGGAGGATCCAACTTGTGTTGGAGAGGCTGCAGATAGCTTCATAGGTTGCGTCTTAACCACTTGTGCCACCAGGGAGGCCCTGCATGAACATTTTAAAGATGAGGGAACCAGAGTCACTGAAAAACATGGCACCCTCCTTTCCTGTCCCCCTCATCCTACCAACCTGGATGAAATGGGGTCATTTATCAGAAATGGGAGAGTTTTCCAAAGAAAAGGATAGGGTTATGGGCAGTTATTCAAGTAAGAGTCTCCTAGAACTCTTCCTTAAATTAGTAAGTTGTTTGTAATGCCAGATGGTAGTAAGTGGACCTTTTAAATGTGTTTTCTCATGTTTGTTGATACCACTACCATTTTTACTAAGTTCTATGTGCCAGGTAATCTACTGGATACTTTTCATAAGCTTATTTTTTACATACTCCTGATGAGGTAGAGTTCTTATTCTCAATTTACTCCTGAGAAAACAGACTAACAGTTCAGTTGAGTTACTAGGTCACATAGTTGGTTTGTGAACTGAGTGATGTTTTAGTCTGTCCAATTTCTGTTTTATCTTTTGAAAGTGATGTGTTTTGGGGCCTCCCCAGTGGCGCAGCAGTTGAGCGCTGGGTTGCGAAGCTGCCCGCAGCCTCTGCGGCACCGGTTCGATCCCCGGCTGCTCCCCGGCCACCGGAGGAGGGTCCCACATGGCGCGCAGACCTCTCCTGCCGCCCGCTGCTCCCCTCAGCAGTGTACTTCGGTCCTTCTGCCTGCTCTGCTCCCCGCTCTGGCTCTGGTGAATTCTCTCACCCTCCGGTACTTCTGACTGTACCCAGTGCTTGTATAAATAAATAAATAAATCTTTAAAAAAAAAAAAAAGAAAGTGATGCATTTTGTTTATGCCTTGGAGTAAGTAATAAAGGTATCCTTTAGTCCAGTAGCAAAGTACCTGATTTCAGGTATTTATATTAGAATTTGTTTTTTGTTCTATTACTCTTTGTATTATTTTTCCTTTTTTTATAGGTATAATTTACATATGGTGGCATTTACAGATATTAAGCCTGCAGTTCTTTGAGTTGAGAAATGCATTGCCTATTTAACGTACACCTTAAAGAACATTTCCAAAAACCCAGAAATGTTTCCTGTGTCTCTTACCAGTTAATCCCTTGTATACATAACCTCACCCCATAGTGCATTTTACCTGTTTGTAGATACATGGAATTATATTGGATATATTCTTTTGTATCGGTTTTTAGAATAAAGTCTTTCAGATTCATTCATTTTATTGGAGTGCTTCAATAGCTTGTTTCTTTTTAATTGCTTGAGTGTTACTTTGTTGTGTGAATATAACACAATCTGTTTTTTTCATTTGCCAAATGTTTTCAGTTTGGATTTATGATAGATTAAGCAACTCTGAACTGTCTTACATAAGAATTACTGTGGATGTAAGTTTTTCTCTTCCTTGAGTAAAATCCTAGGTATGATTGCTGGTTGTTGGGTAGAAATATGTTTAACTTATGGAAAACTACCAATCAGTTTGTAAAGGAATTCTTCTATTTTACATTCAAATTAGCAATGTGTGAAGTTCTAGTTTCTCCATAACCTTGTTATCTTTTAGTGTTACTAGACTTTTTAATTTCAGCCTTTCTAGTAACTCTTTTTTTTTTTTTTTTAAGATTTATTTATTTATTTATTTATTTATTTATTTATACAAGCACTGGGTACAGTCAGAAGCACGGGAGGGTGAGAGAATTCACCAGAGCCAGAGCAGGGAGCAGAGCAGGCAGAAGGACCGAAGTACACTGCTGAGGGGAGCAGCGGGCGGCAGGAGAGGTCTGAGCGCCATGCGGGACCCTCCTCCGGTGGCCGGGGAGCAGCCGGGGATCGAACCAGCACTGGAGAGGCTGCGGGCAGCTTCGCAACCCAGCACTCAACCGCTGCGCCATCGGGGAGGCCCCTTTCTAGTAACTCTTAATGGCTTTAGTTAGCTTTTCCTTTTGACTAATGATGTGGATTAGTTTATCTTTGCTTATTGGCTAATCAGATAACTTCTAAGCCCCACTTCATATGGAATAGGGCTTATCATCAGGACCTGAATTTCTCTCATCACACTCAAGCATACTTTTTCCTTTGTATTATATTTCATTGTTTTGTCATGTGACTTTCTTAGTATGCTTTAAGAAGTGGTAGTGATGTTTGGAAACATCTGTCATATCCACCTGGGATGGCTCCCCCTTTATGTATATAATACTTTTTATCATTATCAAGTGTATCTTAGGAACAGTCTTTCAGCAGATACATGGAATGCCTCTAAGAGTGGGACACTAC